GGCAGGGCGGGCTCCCAGGGGCCCGTCTCTTGCCCGCCGTGGTCGACTTGCTCACGCGCGGGAAACAGGCGAAGGCGCAGCCGCGTGACTCGGCCTGCAGCCGCGGGCCTCGGCCTTCAGAGTGACTGAAGTTTCCCAGAGCTCCAGGTCGGGATTGTTACGTCTGACTTATTAATTTCATGGATTTCTTGCTCTTGGCTTTATTAAGAAGAAAATGCTCGGTTGCCGGGCGCGGTGGCCCACGCCTGTCATCCCGCACTCTGGGAGCTGAGGCGGGAGGATCGCTCGAGGTCAGGAGTTCGAGACAGCCTGAGCAAGAGCGAGACCCCGTCTCTACATAAATAAAAAAAAAAAATTAGCCGGGCGTGGAGGTGCATGCCTGTAGTCCCAGCTACTCGGGAGGAGGCTGAGGCAGGAGGATCGCTTGAGCCCAGGAGTCTGAGGTTGCTGTGAGCGAGCCTGACGCCACGGCACTCACTCCAGCCTGGGCGACAGAGCGAGACTCTGTCTCAAAAAAAGAAAAAGAAAATGCTCGTGAGTGACCCTCTCTGTGGACACCCCCTGTGACCCCCTCTGTGGACAGTTTCTCTGCACCTCACAGGAGCTCTTGGAGGGATCAGCGTGTGTCACCCCAAACTCGGCCACTTTGGCATAAGGGTCATTCCGGGCTGAAGACGGTTTGGAAACAGCAGGTGCGGGAGGGCCTCTCCCTGCACCTCTTTCTCCCCAGAAGAGGCCCAACCTTCCCTTGCAGAGCTGAAGCGAACTTTCTTTGGCAAAGGAGTTCTCTTTTCCGGGACCGGGAGCACGAGAGACGGCAAAGCCGGTCCCTGTCCCCCAGTCGGCCAGTGCTGGGAGCCCAAGCCCTTTCCTTCGCCCGGTTGCTTCTCCACGATTTGGGGCCCTTGATCGAGATGCTACAGAGCCCCTGAATCCAACGGCGTCTTTGGGGTTCCCGCTTCTCTCCTGTGACCTTCCTGTCCACGTAAAATAGCGTCTGCACGCCTCTTCTCTCGTCCGTCTGTCTTTCGGCAGTTTCATCCGCAGACCCCCGTCGCAGAACTTGAGAGTTTAGAGGAGAAGGTTTTTTTTTTTTTTTCCTGCTCTTCAAAGCGTTGACCCTTTTTGTGTGCACAATACGGGCCGTTTTGATCCGATTCATTGAGTCGGGAAGCTGAGGGAAATGTGTGGAGAAACTGTGTCTCCCCGATACCCCGGTCTGGCTACAGGGCCGCTGACGTTTGGGCGAGACTGGCAGGGTGGTCCGAGTTGTGCAGAGGGGACGGGAGAAAGGGCCGTGCGGACTGGGCCACAGTCAAGAACCGGGCCCCCGGGAAGGAAGGCAGGCGTGCATATGCTGTTCGTTACACACGCTGTGACATACAACACATGTGCCACGCAGCCACCCTGGGATATGGCATTAATGTCACACGGTAACATAGCAACACATGATGGCTCCCCGGAAACAGTCGGCTGTGCGTGTTCGTGGGGTAGGGCTCATTTTGGGGGAAGCACGGTAGATACACGAGCTTCCGGTGGTGTTTCCGCCGTGTAGACGCCGTGGCTCACTTACGCCTGTCATCCCGGCACTCTGGGAGGCCGAGGCGGGAGGATCGCTCGAGGTCAGGAGTTCGAGACCAGCCTGAGCAAGAGCGAGACCCCGTCTCTACTAAAAATAGAAAGAAATGAATTGGCCAAAATTAATGGCAAGAGCAGCGCGAGCAGACGGAGCGCAGCACGGCACAGCAGCTAGGAGTGGGGACTTGTCGGCACATCTACGGCCTTTGCCGACAGAGCGTGTTGGTTCGTCCGGTCTGGGTGTAGCGTCCGACCGTGCCCGTGTTTGACGGCCGGCCCACGCGATCCGTGGGGGTTCTGGCGCCCGGGTTTGGGGAGCAGGTGCCGCAGCTTCAGTGCCTGGGTCTGGGCGGGGGCTTCTCGAGGTCGGGTGGGTGGCGGTCCCCCGCCAGGTGCCCGGCTGGCCCACGAGCGGCCTGGTCACGGGGTCCCAGCAGGGCGGCGGTCGGGCTCAGGGCTGTGGGCCGGCTCCGGCTTGGGGTACGCGGGTTGGGGGGAGCCCGCCCAGCACCCGGGACCCGGATGGGGGCGGACGCCACGGGCCAGGTGCTCGGGCGACCACGCCCCGATGAGGTCGTAGGTCAGGCGTCACCTGTGCACAAGGCTGACGAGGTCACCGCGTGGGGTCAGGGGGGTGCACCCCAAGCCCTGGCCCCCCGCCCGGCTCGCAAGGATCACAGCAGGTGCCACGGGGGGCTGCTTCAGGGCGCCACCCAGCAGGGTCCCCGACTCTGTGGCGTGATCGTCACCTGTCCCCAGGGGTCCCGGGACCTGGCCACCCAGCAGGGTCCCCGACTCTGTGGCGTGATCGTCACCTGTCCCCAGGGGTCCTGGGACCTGGCCACCTGCAGGGTCCCCGCGGGGCCTGGGCGGGAGCTGAGGGAGCCCAGGATGGCGAGGGGAGCCGGTGTAGGGGAGTGTCCACACCACAGAGCGTGCACACCACAGAGTGTCTATACCACAGACAGCACCAGGGCAGACCAGGAACCAGGGCTGACCGTGTGCACAGAGAGTGTCTACACCACAGAGTGTCTACACCACAAACAGCACCACACACAGACCAGGAACCAGGGCTGACCGTGTGCACAGAGAGTGTCTACACCACAGAGTGTCTACACTACAAACAGCACCACACACAGACCAGGAACCAGGGCTGACCGTGTGCACAGTGAGTGTCTACACTACAGAGCGTCTACACCACAAACAGCACCACACACAGACCAGGAACCAGGGCTGACCGTGTGCACAGTGAGTGTCTACACCACAGTGTCCACACCACAGAGCGTGCACACCACAAAGTGTCTATACCACAGACAGCACCAGGGCAGAGCAGGAACCAGGGCTGACCGTGTGCACAGAGAGTGTCTACACCACAGAGCGTCTACACCACAGACAGCACCAGGGGCAGAGCGGGAACCAGGGCTGTCCGTGTGCACAGTGTCTACACCACAGTGTCTACACGGCAGACGGCAGCCAGTACAGACCCTGCACAAACCTGCACCCCGCTCTCGGGCGGCCGGGAGGGCAGAGCGCTGCCCCGCACCTGCCGTGCTGAGCTCCGTGTGCTCGGTCCCCGTGGGGACACTGCCTGCCCCTCCCGCCCAGCTCTCTGCCGCCACCCCCCACCCCTCCCGGGGACGTCAGGTGGCTCTGGCTTTGTTTCCGCCGAGTCGCAGCGCCCGTGTAGCCTGCACGGGTCCTGACCGCGAACCTGTCTTCCTTGCCCAGGCGCGATGGGCGGGCAGGTGAGCGCGGGCGGCCTCGCCCGGAGCCTGCGCCGCGGCGGCGAGAACGCGGACTGGATGTCGGCGCTGAGCCCGCGCCTCTGGGACCTGCCGCTGCACCACCTGTCCATCCCAGGTGAGGCGGGGGAGGTGGCGGCGTCACCTGCGCGTCCCCCGGGGGCCGGTCGTGGGACCTGCCGCTGCACCACCTATCCATCCCAGGTGAGGCGGAGGGAGGTGGCGGGTCACCTGCGCGTCCCCCGGGGGGCCGGTCGTGGGTGTGGGGAGACCCCGGGGGAACACGGGCGGACATACATGCATGCACACGTGCACATGCACACGGGCACACGTGCACATGCGCACGGGCACATGCACACGCGCACATGCACACGGGCACACGCACACGGGCACACGCGCACGCGCACACGTGCACGTGCACACGCACACACGCACACATGCACACGGGCACATGCACACGGGCACATGCACACGGGCACACGTGCACATGCGCACGGGCACATGCACACGCGCACATGCACACGGGCACACGCACACGGGCACACGCACACGCACACGCGCACACGCACACGCGAACACGCACACACGCACACGCACACACGCACACGCGCACATGCACACGGGCACATGCACACGGGCACACGCACACGGGCACATGCAGACACACCTGTCCCCGTCTGTCCCCCTGGTCCCGCACAGCGCAGGAGGCCCCTCCTGCACCCGGGCAGGTGACACTCGGGGCCTTGTCCGCCGAGGAACTCGGGGCGTCGGTGGTTTCTGGGATTCACTCGGGATTTGAGGCCCGGCCACGCATGCGCCGTTCTGTACCCGACCGCGCACGCGCGGTTCTCCACCAGTCCACGCATGCTTGGTTCACCACCAGTCCACGCATGCGCAGTTCTCCACACATCCACGCAAGCGCCGTTCTCCACCATTCCACGCATGCGCAGTTCTTCAGCAGTGCACGTATGCGCAGTTCACCACAAGTCCACGCATGCGCCCTTCTCCACCCGTGCCAGTCTGCGCCCTTCTCCACCCAGCCGCGCCTGCGCAGTTCGCCACCGGGCTGCGCTGAGCGTCCCCTGGGTTCGATGCTCCGCTGAGTCTGCGCGATGGGACAGGGTCACAGGGACGGCCCCGCAGGGACAGCCACCTCGGGCCTCAGGTGCGCCGCCGTGCCTGGATCATTTTTTCTATATGGTTTAGTTGTTCGGCTAATTTCTTTCTATTTCTAGTAGAGACGGGGTCTCGCTCTTGCCCAAGCTGGCCTCGAACTCCCGACCTCGAGCCATCCTCCCTCCTTGGCCTCCCAGAGTAGCTGGGACTACAGGCATGCGCCACCACGCCCAGCTAATTTTTTCTATATATATATATATATTAGTTGGCCAATTAATTTCTTTCTATTTCTAGTAGAGACGGGGTCTCGCTCATGCCCAGGCTGGTCTCGAACTCCTGACCTCGAGCGATCCTCCCTCCTCGGCCTCCCAGAGTGCCGAGATGACAGGCGTGAGCCACCGCGCCCGGCCTGTAATAATTTTAAAGACACTAGTTATGCCAATACTTGCTGGTTAGAAAACAAGAAGACGAAACCTTCATCCACGACAGCCGTGAAGTGCCTAGAAAAGAGTCGAACCTGCACCAAGTAGAGGCGAGGAAAGCAGCACCTTCGTGAGGAGTCAGTCGGCAGGAAGAAACAGCATCGAGCGGTTGCAAACCGTGCTCCGCTGGCCCTCGAGAGTCTCCTGCAGCTTGACAAATAACCCTCACATTTATCCGGATTAAAAAATGTTAAGAACATCTAGGAAACTTTCGGAAAAAAAAAAACAAAAACAAAAAGAGAGAAGAGACATTTGCACTGCAAGTTACAAATATAAATAAAAACGGTGTCATGCGATCCTATAGATCACGGGACGAGACTGTTAAACTCGAAAATGGGATAGAACCCTGAGCATCCGACAGGCCCAGACGGCGGCATTTCAAATTTGAGGACGCAGAAGTCCGCCCATGGTGCTGAGAGGTCGGCCAAGCATTTGGGGAAAAACCAAGCGAGACGCTCGCTTCCTATTTTACATCAAAATATATTGCAGGCCGGGCGCGGTGGCTCACGCCTGTCATCCCAGCACTCTGGGAGGCCGAGGCGGGAGGATCGCTCGAGGTCGCATGCTTGTATTCCAGCTACTGCCGGGAGGAGGCCTGAGGCCAGGAGGAATCGCTTGAGCCCGGGAGTTTGAGGTTGCTGTGAGCGAGGCTGACGCCACGGCACTCACTTCTAGCTGGCAACAAAGCGAGACTACTGTCTCAAAAACAAAAGAAAAGAAAAGTAAAATAAAGAAAAAGGGGCCGGGCGCGTGGCTCAACCCTTCCATCCCAGCACTCTGGAGGCGAGGCGGGAGGTCGCTTGAGGCAGGACTTCGGACCAGCCTGAAGCAAGAGCGAGACCCTGGTTCTACTAACAAGCAGAAAAAACTAATTGGTGACACTAAAAAAATATATAGATAAAAAGAGCCGGGGCGTGTGGTTGCATGCCGTGGTCCCCAGCTACTCGGCAGGCTGAGGCAGGAGGGTGGCTGGAGCCCAGGAGTCCGAGGTTGCTGTGAGCGAGGCTGGACACCACGGCACTCACTCTACCGGCGACCAGAGCGAGACTCTGTCTCAAAACAGAAAGAGGCAGTCGTGGGCCGGGAGCCCACAGATGGCAGGGGCGTGCGGCCCCAGGTTGACCCACCTGGGTGACGGACCACTTGAGCACCACGGGCATCGTGACGCAGGGCGCGGCCTTGGCGAGCAGCTGCAGCAGCCGGGGCTGGGCCGGGGAGATGGGCGACCGCTTGTCCAGGCAGTAGGTCATGGTGTCGTGGCTGCCTGCAAGCACGGCGGGGGGTAGGGTGTGGGGTCCCGGTCAGTCCCTGCTCCTCCCTCCGCCCTGCACAGTCACGCACACGGAACACGCGGCCCAGAGGCGTGGGGCAGCGCCCCCCAACACCCACGGGGCGGTGCGGACACAGGTGTGTGCAGGTGCATGTCCAGGTGCGCCTGTCATCTGCCACCAGGGGGCGCCACCCTGACCGGGGAGGGCCTCGAACCCGGTGACAGGTGACAGGTGTCCCTGTAGAGACAGCAGAAGCACACCAGCACGAGAGGAAGGGGAGTGAGGCCGTTGGCAAAGGGAGCGCGACACAGCGGGAGGCGGAGCAGCGGGGGGGGAGGAGCTCTCGGGAGCGTGAGCAGGGGCAGACCCCCACCACCGCGATGGAAGCTGGATTTATTGTCTTTTATTCATCTGGATCTTGTCACGCATTTGGCAATGCAACCTGCAGAAAAATGAACACCACAGCATCATGAAATCCTACTCGCTGGCGCATATATAAGACACACAAGAATGGAAAAACAAGCACTACACTAAGCACATGGGCCTAACTGAGCAGCACTAAGCGACACAGCAACTACACGTAAAGGGGCGGGCCAGTGGAGGGCGGTATACACTACATGATGAGGCGTGCACCGTCTGGTGACGTCACGGCTGGAGACTCAGACTTGTGGGGCTTTCATTGAAACCTTAAAATCTGTTCCCCCCATAATATGCCGAAATAAAAAAAAACAATAAATAAAAAAAAAGAAATGAAAAAAAAATCTGTTCCCCATACATACTGCAAATGATAAAGAAAAACATAAATAAAAAAAAAAGAAATGGAAAAAAAAATCTGCTTGCCCTCATAATATGCAAGATAAAAAAAAAACAAATAATACAAAAAAGAAATGAAAAAAAAAAGTTCCCCCATAAATATGCCCCGAAATAAAAAAAAACAAAAATCAAAATAAAAAGAAATGAAAAAATCTGTACCCCATAATACTGCCGAAATAAAAAAAAAAAATACGCGAATCCTCCACAGCGTGCGACCACATGCACTTCAATTAACTGTGTTCATGTGTGTGTTGCGTATAGGACCCACTGCCTGGAGGATCCGTCGGTGTGTTCAGTGTCCCTAATGACGGGGAGGTGTCCGGAGAAGCGTGTCATTAGGTGACTGTGTCACTGTGTCACATCCTCACACACGCCCGGGTGGCACGGCCTCCCAACCCCCACGCCCCGGCCGGGCTATGTGGTCCGACCTGCTGGCCCCGCGCTGCCCACTGCGGGCAGCGTGACGCGCCGACTGCCGTGGCGCCGATGGCAAGCACAGCGTGCGGCCTGTTGTGCTGACACGGCAAACACGGTGTGATGACCTCATGCGGCCGCTGTTGCATGTGTGTCGGCTGTTGCAGCTGTAAAGAACGGCGTCATTCCCCTGCGTGCATGGCTGTGTATGTGGTTATTATATGAAGATATCGTTTTTTTTTTTTTGAGACCACAGAGATCTCTGTCGCCGGGCTGCTAGAGTGAGTGCCATGCGTCCAGCCTCGTGCCCACTGAGCAACCTCCGACTCTCTGGCTCAAGCCCAATCCTCCTGCCTCAGCCTTCCGATGTAGCCTGGGAGCTACAGGCAATGGACTACCATTGGCAACGCTAATTTTTTCTATATACTATTTTAGTCCATCCCAGCTAATTCTCTTCTATTTTTAGTAAGATGGGGTCTCGCTCCTTTGCCAGGCTGGTCTCTAAGCTCCCGAGCTCAAATATGCCCCTTCCTCAGCCCTCCACAGAGTGCTGGAGTTACAGGCATGTGCCATGCCACCGGCCGGCTAATTTCTCGTCCTCTATACTTTTTAGTTGGTCATCAATTTCTCTCTATTTTAGCTAGAGACGGGTCTCGTCTCTTGCTCAAGGCTGGTTTTCGAACTCCGACCCTTGAGCGATCCTCCCGCTCGCCTCCCAGAGTGGCCTGGGAATGACAGGCGTGAGGCACCATTCCCAGCCTACAAATCTGTGTTTGTGCGTCGGATAATATAAATATATAAGCACCCACGACACACACGCCACACACCACATAGTATGTATTTTTTTAAACTAACAACAGGCACCAAACATCGCAATTTCTGCTTGCTTTTCAACGTAAGTATTGTCAGCATTCTCAAAACCCGTAAACACGAGCCGACCGCAGGCCGTGACACCTGCGTCCACTGCCTGGATGCTGTTCTAGAAGCGCGTGTGGCCGACAAACGCCGTGGACTCTGGCTCTCCCTAGAAGCCTCCTCCGCAGATGCTGCCCCTACTAAAACTTGTTGGCGTTGAACTACAACCGTGAGCTGAATCCCTGAGGCGTGTGGGGAAACACGCCACGCAGGTGCCCACGAGTCTCCCTGCATCCAGGCGGGCCGTCCCCAACCTCCGCCCATAAAAACTCCACCCTCAGTGTCAAAAACCACCTTGAATGTTTCGCCGTGTGCCCAAGGAAAAGTGGACCCCCGCTGTGTTCTCTCCTGTGGTTTCCCTCACGCGGTTAGACTTTTTTCACCCTCACTCCAACCCGAGTCCCATCTGCGTTTTTCTCTCCCCTCGCGAATCTCCAGTCAAATCGCCGGAGCCGTTCGCTGCTGGAGTCCCCACGTTCCCTGCCGTGGACTCCTGGGAAGCGTGTCGGCGTGCCACCCAGACACCCCTTGCCGCGTCGAATGGGAGGGTGGCGTTCCTCAGGTCCCCGTGGGCTGGTTTCGGCAGGTTTGGAGGAGGTGGGCAGGGTCCACGTGGCTGGGGCCGGGTGTGTTTCATGACATTCAACTAAAGCCGCACGATGGCACCGGATGGGCCAACGGCGCCGCTTAGAGCAATTGAACTCGTTTCATGCATATTCAACCGAGGGAAGACTTACTTTTATTCTTAAGGCCCAAATCGGTCCAGTCTTCCGTGGCTGTGTACTGGCCCATTTAAGCCCGACCCCAGATTCACCTACGAGTCTCACGAATGATATGGTGTTATTTTCCCCCTTAAATTTTAAAAACTGCAATATGTGTGTAATATATATATATATATTTTTTTTTGAACAGTCTCCCTGTGCCAGGCAGATAGTGCCATGGCTCAGCCTCGCCCACACAACCTCAGAATGGCTCAATCCTCCTTGCCTCCCCCGAGTAGCGACAACAGCCATGCACCAACCCCAAGCGCCAAGTCATATATACTATTAGCCAATTATCCTCTATCGAAGTAAGTAACGGT